TTTGAGGGTAGTTTTTATAACAGCTGTTGTTGTTTTTCCATTCCTTTCAATTGTTCAATTGACAGTACAGATATACTGGAGTGTACAATCGTGGACATAAATAAAAACATAGATCTAACATCATTTTAAAGCGTACTGCCAGACGTTCTACACGTGGAATCTGTGGGTTGGTTACATGCAACGGGCTATCAGCGCCCTCCGCGTCCAATATAATAACAGCCTTAGGATGCTTCTGGGACTCCCCCGACACTGCAGTGCGTCAGAGATGTTTGCGCATACGAGGATTGACGGCTTTAACGCCATTCGGCGCAAACGGACGGCTTCTCTTTTACGCAGGGTTCCGGACAGTACCAACAGCATCCTAAGAGGGTTACGTGACAAGCCCGATCATGCACCACGCACACGTAGCCGCCTTATGTCATGTTATAAATATATCTAGTGTTTTTATTTTTGTAAGTGTAAAAATTTCAATTATATGTAATATACCTTACATGAATTAAATAAATAATCAAATTAAACTAAATCAAAACCGCAAGTCGCCGTTTTTGATTTGTTCGTTTAATGGCAGCTACTGGTGGGGGTTTTTCTGTTGAATATTTAGTTAGTATATGGACTAAGAGAATCAATTTACTCAGATGTTACTCAGATGAATGGCGTTACTGAAGATTCCGCTTTCAAAAGTTTGTAAGGCCTTGGAATAGAATTAAAAACTTTGACGTAATGGATAAAGTTTGTTAGGTTCTTTAAGATATTTTTAAGACCAAGAATAACTTCAACTCACGCTTGTGTTCTAGAGGAGTAGGCAAGGATAACACATTTTCTTTAGTTTGCTTCGACACAATTCTCTCTTTGCCCATAGATTCTACGTTTGCTAGCTCACGCGGTTGCTCGTGTAAAGACAAAAACTTTGTAATCATACTTCATACTAATATTATAAATATGAAAGTTTAGATGGATGGATGGATGTTTGTTAGAGTTTGTAGTCTAAACGGCTGAACGGATTTGGATGAAATTTGGTGTATATCTCAATGATAGTCTGGAAGAACACATAGGCTATTTGCTTTTGATTTTTTTTATTCTACGAGGACAGAGTCGCGGGCGAAAGCTAGTATATTTCATATTTTTTAACATGTGTCTGTTTACTTTGTTATTTCCAAATTGAAATGTTGGATGTAACTATCTTTTGTGATCACGATCACGTACCGAAGCTTGAGTTATCCAATTTGTTGAGGAATTTCCTGTGCGTTACACAACGGCACGTACAATTTCAATCACACGTGTATTACGAAGTCGATGTTAAAATAATTTTATTTTAACACAACACAACACATTACTGATGTTAAATTTAAAGTTAAGACTGCAACTAATGTTAAATTGACATTCTTTTTTTGTATTTCTGATAAATACAAAAAAGAATTGATTAAAAACTTTAATAAACAGTGGTGGAGTCCGCAGCAGGATTTCTTGCTGCATGAAAAGTCTCTTCGATCCGTGGAATACTCCTTAACAAAAGACAGGCGTGTAGCGGAACTATTTCCATGTTAATTAAAATCTGCAATATAATAAAAATACTGTCTTAAATCCGTTTAATTAATGTTCAATCGTTAAATTACACAATACACTTGAACATAAAAGTACTAACAAGAAAGTCGCAATTAGTGTAGAAGTGTTAACGAGTGGCAATTCTGACGCGACAAAACTCCTTTAACTTTTCATCGTCGCTCACTAAAGGAGGTACTACAAGAGGTTCATTTTAAGTTAACTACAGTTTTATTCATCACGCTATATTACGTTCTTTATTGTTACGTGAAACTTATGTTTCCTATTGCCACAATAAGTCATTTAAAAGGCTCCCTAAGTCAGGATTTGGAAGCAAATGTCTACACTAAGTTACCTTTAGTTACCACTCAACAATTCTACAGCAGTTATTACTGTAAATATTCACTTTAAACAACATTCTTTGTAGTACCTCTTAGTTATCAGACAAAATTATAAGTAAAAGATTTTCTAAGGGACCAACCGCACGCGTGGCCGTCGTGTTCGGAATACATTACCCTGATACTCTTACAGCTGTTTACCATATAAACAAGCTATCCCACATATTAATGACATTCTACACTCTATACGTTCAAATACTAAATAAATATACCGTTGTCCTTTTGAGAAATTACGGCCATGTAACGAACTACAAAGTATATTGAGGTATTTTTTCTAGCCATTGGATCTTCACAGACACAAAATTGACGTTTCTTTTCAAACATAACGTAGAGCATAACGTTACGATTTATTTATTAAATTTATGCTGGGTTTCTGAAGTTCTCACTTATTATGTCATTACCTTGTGATTTATTTGTTATATTGATCTATGTTTTAATGCAGTAAAACTCAAGTTAGGTAGTTCGAAAACGCATTTCATAAAGTTATCGTCCAAAAAACACTAACGAATGGTTAAATGCAGCTGGGATACCGAACATTACTCAATTTAAAAGTTTTCGATTATACTGTCTTACTGTTTTTTTTATTCTTAAGTGTTAATATAGTTAATGTGTTACGTTACGTATAACTCAAGGTTTTTAGCGAAGAAGGGCACATTAGGCCGCGCTGGGAAATTAAACCCCGAGGGAAGGTGACCTTTTAGAAATTTTATCACGTAATACTTTGACGGTGCATTTAAGTGTTTAAGGCTCGTATGTTTTCATTTTTATAATTATGAAAAATAGATTCCTTAGGCTTCATTACCGGTCAATTTCATCATCATCTCATCATCCCTTCCTTATCCTAATAGGTTTAGCGCTTCGGGTATTCGTCCTCCAGATAACTGTATCTTTGACATTGCCGTCCAATGTATAAGAGCCTAAAGCACTAGCTTGTTACAATCACAATTAATTCAATTAATGTACAACACTATATTGTACAAACCCACATCTTACTAATATATAAATGCGAAAGTTTAGATGGATGGATCTTTGTCAGAGTTAGTGTAGTGTAGACGTAGAGGATAGTTTATAAAAACACACAGGCTATTCACTTTTATTTTTTTAATTCCATGCGAACGGAGTCGCGGGCGAACGCTAGTATGTACATAAGTTCAAAACTAAACCTAAATATCTGAATGCTGCAAATACTTCGCAATTGTAACGAAATTGAAATGTATCTTTATTTAGTTAAACTCGATCGCCGGAAACACGACTCCAAGAGCAGTGCTCACTAATTGAAATATCCTTTAGATTACTTACTTTTTTACTGAGTTACCTGAGAATTATTAAATGTAATCATTTCCTTTCAAGTAAAATTCTTTTTAAATAAAGAAAACTGTAGTGTGTCACGAACAGATGTTACGAAGTAACAGTTTACTCGGTAAATAATAGTAAAATAAACCTTTGTTATAAGCTTAGTTTCAGAAATGCAAAGGACAACTTGAATACAATGCTCACATGTACTTAAATAGCCTTTGGTCTCATCTACATGCAGTTCCATACGATGACACTATGAATAGAAGAATGAATATATTCAGAACATACTGTGCATGTTTTAGACGTTGCAACCATTTGAACACATTTTAATATGAACTAAAACATTTATTAACCACTAGCTTGCGGCCGCGACTCCGTCTGCATGAAATCAAAAATAAATAGCAAGAAGCCTATGTGTTCTTCCAGACTATGCTCTAGATCTATGCCAAAATTCATCGAGATCCATTCAGAAATTACGGCTACAAACTCTAACAAACATTCATCCATCTAAACTTTCGCATTAATAATATTACTTGCTTTCCCTTGCGACTCCGTCTTCGTGGAATAAAAAAAAATGAGTATCTTGTGTATTCTTCCAGACTATCCTCTACATCTACACCAAATTTCATCGAAATCGGTTCTGCCGTTTAGACTACAAACTCTAACAAACATCCATCCATCCATCTAAACTTTCGCATTAATAATATTAGTAGCTTTCCCTTGCGACTCCGCCTTCGTGGAATAAAAAAAAACAAAAGTGAGTAGCTTGTGTGTTCTACCAGACTATCCTCTACATCTACACCAAATTTCATCGAAATCGGTTCCGCCGTTTAGGCTACAAACTCTAACAAACATCCGTCTAAACTTTCGTATTAATATTAGTAAGATGTAGCTAGTAATTATGAATTAGGTTTTCCTAGACAAAGTTTGAACTGCTAATGCATGAAGTCATACAAACTTTGGTTAGCATTTCTGATAAATTATAGAGCATTCATCCGACAGTTCAGAGATAGGTATTAATGAACTCTCTGTTAGTTCTGTGTTCTGTTCTCTTCTAAATGTGGTGACGCAGTTTGTTCTTTATTTATGTTAACTCCTAATTTGTCAGGATAACTGAACGTTTGCTATTAAAGTATCGCTTAACGCGGATATCATCCGTCATTAGTTGGACACTGACGTAGTGTTTGACCCGCCGTATCACATTTCTTTTATTTTTTTGTTATTCATCAAATTGTCTTAAATAACATCGAAATAGGAAAAAAAATCGTTACTTGACTAAAAATGTGAATGTTTATAGTTGTGTAAGAAGCAATGTATTTTTATAGTACATCTTATTATGGTTTTTATTTCCAATAAAACTCCTTGTTTTTAATTTCGATGTTTTTCAATAATCGTACTATTATTATAAATGCGAAAGTTTAGATGAATGGATGTTTGTTAGAGTTTGTATCCGAAACGGCTGAATGGATTTCGATGAAATTTGGGATAGATGTAGAGTATACTCCGGAAGAACACGTAGGCTGCTCACTTTTGTTTTTTTTATTCCACACAGGCGGGTGAGCGTGCGAAAGCTAGTACAATACATTGCTTATAAATCTATTCATAGTGCAGTTAAGAAATATGTATATTATGTGCAGTAATTAAAATTAACGTGACTTTCATAAACATATAACTAGATAGTACTTCAATACTCACATCTTAGAATAAGTTTCCTAGTATGTTGTTGTTCGCTATTTTAAAATGATTAATAATTTTTTGTTGTTACAGAGTGTAATGCCTAACACGGCGGGCAGCGGGTTCCAATGGGACAAGCTCTCGCCCGCCGAGTTCCAGCAGCTGCAGGAGTTAGCCTCGTGTAAGTTACATATATTTTGATACAGAAGGCATGTCATAACAGTCTATGTGTTTTAGTGTGTGTATGTAAGTTTACGTACAGTTGGGAAATGATAATTTAAAAAATCAACTTTCCTCAAATAGTTTTATAATACCGGCTGTATAACTAATAATCTTACTAATATTATAATTGCGAAAATTTAGATGGATGGATGAATAGATGTTTGTTAGAATTTGTAGCTTAAACGGCTGAATGGATCTCGATGAAATTTGGCATCGATGTAGAGGATACTTTGGAAGAACACATAAGCTACTCACTTTTGTTTTTTTTTTAATTCCACGCGGTCGGAGTCGCGGGCGAAAGCTAGTAGTGTAATAATTTATAGTTTTAAAACAAATTAAATTTCGTTATTATTACTTGCAAGAAATAACATATTATAATTTAATACCACGATTAGACATTTTAAAATGTAACTTATCTTACTAAAATTATAAATGCGAAAGTTTAGATGGATGGATGTTTGTTAGAGTGTGTAGCCTAAACTGCTGAACGTATATCGATGACATTTGGCATAGACGTAGAGGATAGTCAGAAAGAACACATAGACTACTCACTTTTTTTTTAATTCCACATGGACGGAGTCGCGAGCGAAAACTAATAATATGTATTTTAACTCCTTTTATAAAGATAAGTGTCGTATTTTTGCATGTCCTTCTAAACCTATTAAGAAAGTTAATGCACGAGCCTAAATACATACAAAGTCGTTTGTTCCATACCTCAGTAGTTTTCCAAGAAAGACCACAATCCACATTAACCTCCAAATTGCTACATTTCAATATTTATTTCCAACATATAGACTAAGTAGTCATCAAATTATTATACTTGGCAATAGATCTATCAAATGATAACTTGTTCCGCAAATTAATCTGTCAACGGTTAATCAATAAAAATATAGATAAATTCCATTCATAATGATTGTGAGTTAACAAAAGTTATCTACAGAAATATTTGTTGAACCGTAACAATCGTTTTTATTTTTCAGATTCAACAAAAAAGCTTCAAAATGTTCTTAACGAATTCTGCGAGGTCAAAAAGCAGAGTCCGGATGGGGTGAGTGTAACTTTGAAATATATTTAATAAATTAAACTATAATCTATACTATCTATACCATTATAAAGCGTAAACACACACTTCTTTGTTGGTTAAGATGTCAGCAATTACAGCACATTTTTGAATAATTATCTATTATAAAATAAAAAGCCCTACACTTACGTTACGCTTTAGACTATATATTTTCACGCCATTAAACTTATGGGTAAATGTTTTGGATAAAAACCCTAATGTGGGAAAGAGACCATAAGTTGTTGCTAACATGTTCCTTCATGCAAGGTTGCCATGGTTAGACATCACGTTATGTCATTTGGACATTCACAATTGATAATTTGACAAATGTGAACTATAAAATAATTTTTTTATAATTTTATGATGAAGTCGCATAGGAACAGCTTGTATTAAATATAGTTAAACATAATGTATGCATTTATGTACGAAACTACACTTTACATTCACTCTAAAAATATTCTCATTGAAAGCTATTGAAAACGAGTTTCATTTCCGTTCAAAATATTGCTGCACTGAAAGGGTTTTAAATATTTACTTTAGTGGAAATAAAAATATACTGCGAATCTGCGAAATGTTGCATTCGTTTTAATGTTTCGATTTTTATTAACTGACATAACGACCCTCGAAATTATTAAGCACGTATGTTTTTTCAACGTTTTTTTCACGAGTACTAACTTTATTGAATGGCACTTCACGTCGTTGCACTTTCTATTAAGGTTGTGATTTTTGAGCCCAAAAATAAATCTTAGGATTAAGTTAAATTCGAATGTGAAATATTTGAGTTAAAATTAATTGAATCGCAACCATTTATGGCTGGTTTCCCAGCGACGTTTAACCATTCCTTAGTATTGTTACATCAATAAATTTTTGTCCAATTTAGAATTTTATTGCCTACGCAGTAATTTATCTGTATGTAAAACCATACAATTCCACTGCCGTAAGGCTCGTCTCAAAACATGTTGTCTTTGTTGTGTAGAAGAAGAAAGAGACAATATATTACGAGCGTCAGTGCAGTGGAGTCATCGTGTATCAGAGAAGTTAAATCAATATAAACGTGGCTGTGAAATGACACCGTTAGTGATGCTATTAGTCACTTAAATCACCTCGTTCGAGCAATACTCGCTCCCTCGGGGTCCAATCACCGCGAACGCCGTGTCACCCTACCAAATTGACGGTGATATTTCACTATAGTTATCATCAAAATCCGATACGTTTAATAATTGCTTGGTCACTATAATTGGATTATTATATTACTAGCTTTCGCCAGTGACTCCGTCCGCGTGCAAATTAAAAAATAAACTAAGTAGCCTATGTGTTCTCCCAGACTCATACGTCACAACTCAACAACACAACTCTACGTCTGTGCCAAATTTCATCGAGATCCGTGCGTCGTTTAGGCTACAAACTCTAACAAACATCCATCCATATAAACTTTCGCATTTATAATATTAGTAATATATATCCTTCAAGAAGCGAGCCTACCATTTCCTTAAGGCCGCCAACGCATTTGTAGTTGCCGATGTCCATGGGCGTCGTTTATCACCTTGGTGTTCGCGCCGCTCATTTGCACCCCATTATAATTGGATTATTAAGAAATAAATAAACAAACAAACTATTCCGACGCTCAAAAGAGTACGAATCGAAACATCTATTCAAAATTCAGTAAACATCGCAGTTGACTATCTTAAACGCATTTACATAATGTAAACTGCAAACATCACTGCTCTTAGTCTGAACAAATCTATACATGTTTAAATCAGGTATCATTATCAGATAGAAATTAAAAAAAAACAGATGAAAAACAAACGTTGGATTTTGATAAACAAGAAGGATAAGGTCATGAACATAACAGATGTGATGTAAGGAGGTTGCATATTTTATGACAGACGAAGGTTTTATTGCAAAGATTACGGTCAAGGATAATGCGTCACTGGAATTGAGGCTTAATCTTTAATCTTATGGCGCCACGCTGATCGCTACTAACAATGTCTCATGGTGTACAAAAACCTTTTAAGTATAGTATTAGCCATATCTAGACTGTACATTGTAAGCAACGCTTTCCTATCTGTACTATCTATACTATTATAATAAAGCGTAAACACACACTTCTTTGTTGCCTAAGATGTCAGCAGTTACAGCATATTTTTGAAAAATTCTTAATTTAATAAAAAGCCCTAAACATATGTCACGCTTTAGGCTATATACACGCTTTTACGCTATTAAACCTCAGGGTGTAAATAATTTGGATAAAAACCCTAATGTGGGAAAGAGACCATAAGTTGCTGCCAACATCAAGGAAGCAAGATTGCCAAGGTTTGTCATGTCATGTCAGTTTGACATTTGCTATCAATATATTTATAAAATTTTCATAATTTCTTGCGGATGAAGCCGCACGAGAACAGCTAGTTTGTTAATAAAACATGACCCAACACTTGTAACTTATAATCCAAAATGCGTGTATGATAGACTATTCCGATATTTTTTTATTATTTAATACTTAATACAAGCGCACAAAAATGCGTAGATGCGAAGTTCTTTAAGCTAACTTAGTTAATTTAATGTTACCAAAGTAATGAGCCAATCTTTTTATGCAAAAGTCCGTAAAAACTTTTTTCGCTGCTGGTACAAGTTTGCATAAGACGTCACAAATATTATTCAAGGAGATGTTTGTGACCAAGAAACCTATTATACTTGCAAAGTGAACGTCGTGATTTCAAAATTAAATAGTCAACGAATAATCAACTTCATTGCAAGGAGATTGATTTGTTTTTCCTTTGTCGTCATCGAATCGACCGATTGCATATGACGTCACACAAAATATAGGACGGACGATATGACGTCAAACATTACGTATCGGGGTTAAAAATATTCACTTAAACATTTTAAACTTTCGGTTTTAGATCTTTATTCCCTTTTACTATAAATAAATTTTAGAATGTTATATTGTATTGTACTTTAAATGGAAATCTCCTTACATTGTAGACAAGGGTAAAATTGGAAGAGGAAATGTATCCTCAAAACATTTTTTATTCATATTTTGTGTATATCTCTAGATTGATTCATTTTTGTTTTGAATTAGGATGCAAAAATAAATAAAAAAAAATGTTTAGAGTTACGAATATACGAAGAAAAAAAATGGCTCAGGATAATAAAGATATTATGGAATTCCATAACAATAACGTTACTTGTTCTTTTGTTTTTTATTACACAAATAGATACAGAATAGATGTAAAGGAAATAAACAGTTATAACCTTTGTATTGTTAGAATCCGGGTTGTGGAAATAGAACAAATTCTATTTGTGGAAATCAATGAAAACTTTTTGGCACCAGTTCAATCTGAACGTGAAATACTGAATGGATTGTAGTATTGTCATTACTATGCGGTCGAATAAATCTCCATTCAAAGTTATGCTGTGACCTTATCATTCGACTAGAGGTAGTCAACGAACGTATCTTGCTAGAAGAGAACGAATGAATGAAATGAACGAAAGAGCGGCGAAGAATTAGCAGTTCCTCTAGTGTTGGAGATATCCATGATCATCGCGGTGTTCTCGATTCTTATGTCCCCTAAAACTCCTTTTCTTTTATTATAAAAATAACAGTAAAAAGTTTTAGTGTATTTTTTTTGCAGGCGCTATATAACTTTAATCATTATTCGTATGTATAGTGTTAAAATCATATCTGCAATGGTAAAACATAAGTAAATATTGACATCGACGTGATCAAATAAAAACAACTTAAATAGTTTGTTACGTTAGATTCGAGCACACTCCGGTCCTAAACAAACAGGCCTTTGATAAAGAAATACACATTTCTCGTTTCATTCAACAAACAGATTTTCGTATAACTTGAATAATAAATATTTTCTAAATATTCATCGGAGAGTTAAATAAGAAATGTAATCTTAACTGAGAATATTTGTAGACACATTTTCATTTGTGAGCTGCTTTTTATTTATAAGTCCTAGGCAAGCAATAATTTACGCAATTCGAAATTAATTTTGGTAAAATTAATTAATCTCTACTAATATTATAAAGAGAAAACAATTGTATTTTTGTATGTATTGAAATAACTCAAAAACTTCTGGGCCGATTTTAAAAATTTTTTCGCCCCTAGAAAGGCAATTTATCTGTAAGTAAAATATGTGTTTTTTTTTAATTTCACGAGGGCGAAGTGGCGAGCAACAGCTAGTGTGATATAATTCAATTATAACCTCGTATTTTATTTCACAATATAACGCTAAATAGATGTGGCCTATGTATTTGAAGCGTAAATATAAAAATATTTGATCACATTTCTTTTCTAAGAAGGCTGTCTGAACGGAATGTTGGAACAGGAATTTAATATAAGGAAGGAAATGAAAATTCACTTCAATAAATAAATCGATTCGCATTTATTCTTTCGGGATCGAACCATTTAAAAATAATCGGGACTATACATGGAATTTGTCGCAAAGGAATTCGTTTATAACTGAAACTAGCTGTTATCCGTGACGTCGTTTTATTTTATAAATGAAATGGACGATCATACCAATCAAATAACAGTCTGAAAAAAACAGCTTAAACTCGGATATTTCGATAAAATTTAATGTGTATGAACACTCAACTTTTTTTTTAATTTGTTAACTGTGACGTCACAATATGGCGCGATTGACACACTCTTCTATGAAATGCCTTTCTAAATGGACTTAGCTAATGACGTTTTCGGTTTTACTCTGGCACTTTCTTGTTCACTAATTTATTCTGTACCGTTTACATAAACAATAAATGTGATTCAAAGCAATTAGTAACTAGCTTAAGCGAGTCTTATCTGACCTAAATATTCCAGTACTAAATATGCAAGGCACGTTTTCTATCAACAGAACCAAGTGGCGGCCGTAGATTGACAAAGTTAGAGAACAATGCTAAGAGGAAGTTAAGACAACCACTTCCTTGAATATCTCATTTATGAAAAACAGACCAAATTTTCGGGGGCATAAGAGTTATTT